GGATTTCAGGGCTTTTAAACTGGGCGTGCCGTAAAATTAATTGCATTATCCTGAAAATATATATGGATGACGCTATCACCTCCAGGCGTAAGTGAGAGAGTGTTGTCCAATACAAATATATCAGATTATCTGTAGATCACCGCAGAAGCTCACGGTTTGGCCGCCGGCCTCTAACCGCCAAGCCGTTCACCATTTTCTGGAATTAAAAACGCCCATTCCGCCCTCCGCACTTCACCCCGCGAGCAGCCTGGCGACAGCTGCCACAAAGCCCGACGTCCCCGCACCGCGAAGGCACCTACCGGGTTAGTGCAGCCCAGAACCCGCCGCCCCGGCTGGTGCAGAGCGATCCCGCTGCCGCCGCCACCGCCCCCCGGCCCACAGCAGGCGGTCAGCGGAGCCGCCCCGCTGAGGGGGGGGAAGGAGGGCGGGCGGGCAGCGGAGCCGCCCCGCACCTCCCGCGCTGCCGCCGGTGGGCGGGAAAGACGGCGCCTCGCGCTCGCTTCAGGGGTGGAGCGGGCACTACGCGACCCGCTGGTAGCCCCACACCGAGGTGAGGCGGAGTTTCCCGGACGCTTCGTTCTTGTCAGAAAAAAGCTGAAAATTCGAGCACCTCCCCCGCCCCTACTAGCACTGCTAGGTGTTCGAGACGGGAGGGATCGCGGGCGAAAGGGAGCAGGAGAGAAAATGGCTGTGCTGGAAACCTGCACGAAGCCAGGTCTCCCGTGTGCTGCTCGTAGGAGCGGCAGCCGAGTTTCCTTTCATTTCTGATTCCTTTGGGTTCGGAGCCGAAAGGTGGGTTTCCCGGGGCAGGTGCTCCCACTGGAAGGGCCCGTGGCACAGCAGCCCCCCCGGACTCCAGCCTGGGGGAAGGCAGGGAGCAGACATAACCAGTGACTGTGGGGCCTCTAGGGGCTACGTGGACTTCGGTTGGCCTGTTCAGATAAATTAATTTTAATACCACTCCATTTCCCCATGAGAAACGGTAGAAGTATACACCAGATTTCCTCAAGTCACATACATTTGCTTTCTTCCTAAAACGTTGGCCTTCTGGGTTGAAAACACCCATATTTAAGCTTTTCCTCAAGCTAGAATCTGTGGAAAATTAAAAAATTTAAACAAAACTTATCTTTTCATGGGTTACATGGAAATTAATGTAAATAGGTTCTGGCTTAATTGTATTACTTGGCAGCGTGCAAAGAATCTGCCCCCTTTTACTGTCCTTGAATCTTGTATTCATGTAAATAATCCTCATTAATGCTTTTTACCGTAAGTAGGGGTTACAAAACCAACACAGAAGATGCGAGTATGTCCTTCGTGACAGTCTCTTGCAGCATCACAGACAGAAGAACACACAATCCCCACTCTCTTCAAAGAGGTAGGCAACACAGCAAAATGCCGCTGCAACATTAGTGCCATAATAACCTTCAGGAGGAAGATTACTGATAATTAATTAAAAACATATAGAGCAAATGCTCTGACTCTCTGCCAAGAACACCCACCTACCACCACCATTACTCAAAGAAATTAAACTGTAGCTTTAGTTTGGGGACTGGAGGGAGCAGCATGTGCATGCAGGAATGCTGCTTACAATTTTAGGGTACCTGAAATTTTGGCAGCAATTTTCAGCACCATGCTGAGTGTGCAGTCCTCATTTGAAAATTTAAAGTGGAGACTTGCCTGAGTCCCCCTTTAATGCTGCTTCCTACGGGCACACTTCTGGGTAGCATCAAATTCCTGCAGAGTTTAAGCTCAAATTAAACACATGTACAATGTTTGTGGATTGTGCAGAAAAGCTCTGAGGTCCAATTCATCTCCCAGCTGCAAATCACTGTTGTGACTATTAACAACTATTGAAAACAGAACACTTTTGCCCCATCAGCACCAGAATGCGCATCTCCTTATTTCTCATTCTGTGGGCAGCCCAGCTGAGCACCCTGGGGAGAGCAGCACCCAGCAGGGAGGGCTGCCACTGGGGTGCCTCGCAGCAGAGCCTGGGAAGAGGGCAGACTCGTCAAATTAATTCTGAAGGCCTGGTAGAAGCCAGATGCCCGGTTCCCACTGCATGAAAACGTGTTGATAATGGTTAAAAAAATAAAAATCACCATTGGCTATTGTAGGATACTGATAACGATGGAATACCATTACTGGTGTGATAGGTGAGCACAACTGAACACATCACAAGAGTAACTGCCTTTAAACTCATGCAAACAACACAGCATTGTTTTGGACTAAAAAGGGCCCAGTGGCAAATAGCAGGTCAATGAGCTGTATTATGCTATATATCCTCATGGATATATTGCTATATTGGGAACATAGATTATTTTTCATGCTTTTAAATAAGTCAGGTCTGGTACCCTGATGCAAGGGTGTATTTATTTTCAACCTTAAGCCTGTGGCTTTTCTTCTCATTAACATTTTCTCAAAAGAACAATCAGTGATGATGAAAAAACTGTTTGATGAAATACTAAAGATTTATATTGAAATTGGATATCAGATATTAGCACAGACATGACACATCTTCCAGTTTTTGTTTCCTATTTAGATGTTACCTAATGCATCCTTAACATGAGGAGTTTGATTCACATTTATTGTTTCAAAATATTAAAATTTAAAATGGCAACTCCTAATATGTTACTCTTTCATTTAGGATGCTCAGCCATGCCTATGTATGTTTTCTAAGAGCACTGAAGCTTGCAAAGTTCCCGTATGCTTGTGTTAAATGAGGCTGTTTAGGAATTGTTGTTAACACGGAACCATGGATTTTGAAATGAAAAAGAGAAGCGTACCCTAGATCCACTAGCTTTCAGAGCAATTTTGTTCTACATTAATTTGAAAATCCAGATGAAAAATTGCCCGTAAATCAATTAATCGTATGACCAATTTGTGCCTTCATAGTGCTATGACAGTGCCTTCTTGTGAGGTAAATCCAGTTGGTCATAAACCTCGCTTCAGCCATACGGTAGGTGCACATAATATACATGTATAACCCTTCCTGGAGCACCAGTGCATGACTTTCTAAAGGAAGGAGAATAATGCTAGATATAAATTCTTTGTTTTAATTGCACAGCATTTAATCCTGATGATTTTAGCTCTGTCCACAAAGTAATTATAGAAATTTCTCCTGCAGGCCTCCCCGAATAAAAGAATTCATCTTTCTACTTACCAGTGACAGCTTGAATCTGGCTCTTGTTGACAAACCCAGCTCCTTCATTGAGGTGCACGGGAAGAGCACTTGCTCACACCATGCCTGAGCTCAGCAGCAGGTACACAGTGAGCTGGGTACGGACAGCCCTGACCACCAGCTGCACTTTGTACCGGCCCCTGCAGCTCCATGCCGAGCAGCACTGAGATAAAGGTAGCCCGGGGCCTCCCGTCTGGGGTGAGAACGGTTCAGCTGAAGACACAGAACGATGCCAGGTCGGCAGCTGGGTGCGAAGGCCGCCTCCCCGGGAGAGAAAGCGGGGGGGGGGGGCCTGCCTGGAGGGCGGGCCGGAACCGCAGAGGCCCCCGCGAGGGGCTGCCCGCGGCCCACCCGCTGTCGCGGTGGGGAACAGACCCTCGGGCAGCACCCCGCTGGGGGCGGAGCGGCCGCACGGCCGGTGCCCGGGGAGGGGGGGAGGCGAGGCCCGACGGCGGCCGCGGCTCCGGGGTCAGCGCGGGCGGCGCAAGGGCCACGTGTGCAGCCGGCGCTGGGCGCGCGGCAGCGGCGCCACCTGTCGGGCGCGCGCCGCCCGCCCCGGCTGCGGCGAAGCCCGCGGGGGCAGCCCCGGCCCTGGCGCCTTTCGCCGGAGCGCGGAAGGTCCGTGCCCGCTGCTGCGGCAGCTGCGGCCCCCGCGGCGGGCGGCGGCCGCGCCGCGAGCGTTGTGGCAGCGCAGGCACAGGCGGGCGATGCAGGGGGGGAGTGGGTGGGGAGAGCGGCGCCGCCGCCCCACTGAAAGAGGCCTGGCGGGCGATTGAGCACGCAGGCGGTAGCGTGGCCGAGTGGTCTAAGGCGCTGGATTTAGGCTCCAGTCATTTCGATGGCGTGGGTTCGAATCCCACCGCTGCCAAGTCGTTTTTGTCGCCACCGCGGCTCCTTTTCGCCGCCCGAGTGGCCCGGAGGCGGCCCGACCCGCCCGCGGCTGCCGGGAGGGGCAGGGGGGATTGACGGTGACACTTCTCGTTAAAATCGGAGGGTAGAAAGTTGTGGTGTGTACGAGGAAAGCGACCTGTCTTTTGACTTAAAATCAGAAATAATAATTTTTCAGTTCCGCCTTCCTGTGCTGTGTTTGGGTTACCGCACCCTCAACCTGCGGGCCCTACCCCTGGCCCTTGCCACGTGTGCTGGATGGAGGCAACTGAGGTGATGTCTCACCTTCTCCAGAATTCTCAAATCCACCTACGAATACTTCTCCCTCACACCCGACCTTGGTTCCTCTAGACCTCCTGTTTCATCCCTAATCCTATTTCCCTTCCCAAACTCACTTTTTATGCTCGCACTGTGCTCCCCCTCTGACAGGCTGGAAAAGGTGCAGATGGGAGGGAGATTGGAGTGGGGAGTGGGGCCTTCCAGACCACCGGGTGTTTAGGCCCATTTTAGCTGAACGGTAATTCAAAAAGCACATTGTTCACTTTAGTTACTGCACAGATTTGCTCAGTACAACAGCCAGATGTACTTAAGGAATTTGGTGCAAAAACATAGTTGTACCTAAAGTTCAGCTGATAAGCAACTAAACTTTATTGTTGGTTGTCCTCAACTACAGGATGTAAAGGAAGCAGTACAACCCATAAGTGGCAAATTCCTCTACTGTGACATAAATGCACTAATGTAACTTAGTTAATAACTTCTAATTTAACTAGAATATGCCAGTTTTACTCAAGATAACCACCCATACCTGCATGTACCCCCTTAGGCCTCTGAACTGGTGCCAGTTATTGTCACAGATGGCTCTGCACGCCAGGGGTAGGACGAGCGGTTTTGGAACAGTCTGCACAGAGGCACAGGACTGACTGCAGCCGAGTCTCGAGTACACTTTTATTTTCCCTCATAACTAATTCACAAAAGAAATTCACACAGTGTGAACTCTCTCTGTACAGCTGGTATATGTTATTTACAGTAATCAGTTCTGTCCGTCCCTTTGCTTGTTCCTCAGTTCCCCAAGGCAGCGAACTGTGGTCATTATTTCTCCTTATTTTAGCCATTTTTCTTCACCGGTGAAGCACTTCAGGCTGGCTGTAGCTCTTGTTCTTTTTGCAGGTTCTCATTTACTTCAGCAGTCAGTTTAGAAAGTTTATTTTGGTGTGAAATAAACAGATGCAATAGTCTTGACTTCAGTGTGTTTCAGTGATTTAGCCGTAATTGTTTACTGTATTTTAATTTCTCAAGTACAGCTACTGATACGTTACAATTTTGGTTTTAAATCTAAAAATAACTGCCTGTTTATTGGAGTCAGTAACAATTGCGAAGATTTTAATGATCCAGGTAGCAGTACAGCGACTGAGTACATGCAGTTTATAAGTCAGTGTTGTGTTTCTTTAAAAAAATGCAGAACTGAAAGGCCATCAAATCTTAAAGAAAGGAAGATCAAACTTAAACTAACAATTAAAGAAAGCAAAACTTTGAGGAAGATGTGATGATTCTGGGCTTCTGGTCTGGTTTTAATGTAATGGTCCACAGAATCAGCAAATGCAAACTTCTCTGGGCTGTACCCCAGCTGACTCCGTGCCTTGTCTATTCGAAATGTATGAGTTATAGAAATGTTCTGTACCTTTAGGGCAAAAGAGTCAACATACAAAGATATGAAAACACAGGAAATTGGAACAAAGTCTGTGAATGGTAGCAAAGGTGCAGTTAAAGGAAATGTAAAATGAACCCACCACCCCACAACATTATATCAGTGTCCTATTGACATATGTCACATTATCTTTAAAATGGTTCACTCAAAAGGAGGATCTTGAAAGCCCAAAGAGGCAGCAAAAGCTGCAAAGCAGAATCTTCTAGCCTTGAAAACATCCATAAAAAATGTTCTGCACTTGTTTATGTACCTAAGGAGGCAGCCAAGAGCCATCTCTTAGGTGCCTAAATATCTTCAGAAATTAGGGTCCAGCTGACCAGCCAAAGCCATACGGGGCCTTGGAAGGAAGGAGCTGAGGCAGCCTCTCTTGGTTTGCAAGCATAAGTTCTTATCTTTTCAAAGATTATGGTAATAAGCATAATATATTGTCTAAAATGGCGCATACATTTGCCCTGGAAACTGGAGGCTGAAGTAGTACTGGGTAGATTTTACTTTCTACTGACTTAATCTTAAATTGTACCTACGTATTAACACATGTATGCATCCTGTGAGAATTAAGAGTTTACAAAGACTTTACCTCATTTCTGGTCAGCAGTGGAGACAGTTCAACAAATGGTTTCAGCATCAGATGAAGGTATTCCATTATCATGGCTGCATAAGGAAAGATTTCTACTTGAGGTAAGAATAGTAAATTGCTATGCTATTATGATTTTGGCATATCTCACACTGTACATATATATGATAGTGAAGGATCATCACATACCTAAGAGCTCAGGGCACTAACATCAACAGGGCTACTTGCTGGGGTTGGATTTAATCTTAATACTTCAGTCAGCCTGAATTAGGGTGCTTGTGTGAAAAGGGTTTAGAGGGTTGGTGACAGGTCTAGTGAAAAGATCACGAGACTTCATAAAAATGTGGTAACAACAAAACATTCAAAGTTGGATTCTGCCTTAGCTGCACATGAGGGTTGATTCTGGAGAGCATGGGGTACAGGAGAACAAGAAATTTACCCATGCAGCAAAACAGATACTCTTCAGTGTATTTCATGAAGTCATGGATTTTTACATTTAACTTCTTATGTTTATACCATTAACAGATATATAACTCTGTGGAGTTAAATCCTACATGAAACCTGGTTTTGTGGGACTTAAATAAGAGATCATTCTGTTTTCAACACACCGCATAGAGCTGAACTGCACCCCTAACTACTGCACACTAAATGAGGCCACAGCTTATTATTTTTATAGATGAAAATGAAAATTGTGGGCAAATTAAAAAAACCCTAACATACTATGATTAGGAATGAGGATAGTGTGGTAAGGAAAGAGAAATGTTGATAAAATGTTTTTACCTGATGCATAAACTAAGGAAGTAGGAATACGTATCCGTGGTTTACTGCAACCTAATCTTTCAAACTGAAAGAAATTTAAAAAACAGTGAAAAAGCCAGAAACCTCAAACAAGTCTTAAAGTTTCAATGCAGAAGATATTTGTGGAAATATTTACTGATAAACCAGAAAAAATTATCATTTCTATTTGTCAAACTATTTGAGTTTTCAGGGGATTTCAATTACGTGTCACATGCAGACATTATGTAATTTTCAAGTGGCAGTCTTAAAAAAAGGAAAAAAAAAGTTTATAATAATCGATTGAAGTGTCATGGTGTGCTGATACCTAATTTAACATTGTGACATATTTATGGTTTTGAACCCATCATTAGCAATAAAATGATCTATTGAAAATGTGTATTATAGATTAATAATTAGGATTTATATCTTTTGTCCACCCAAAATAACCACCATTAACAGATGTGCACCCAAGAAACAAAGATAATGGCAACTCAAAAGAGGATACTAGTTTAGATGGTCCTTTGGTCTCAGTGAAGACAGCTGCTCTAATGTAATATTTTAGGTAGGCTTTGTTACAGCGCTGTTCACACTGAACTTCAAGCAGGAATTAAATCCACATTCAGAACAGAACTCTTACACCCAAAACAAACATACCAAATGTAACATGCACACAAAGCTGGAGCTCTATACAATTAAATAAATTAATGTATTTGGAGATGAAGTATATATTGCACGTACAAGTGGAGTTAACCATTCAAAAAGGTTGAATTTTTCGCCATCATTAATGAAATACACCTGGCCACTCTGTTAAAGAGGTAAAGAGACAAGTTAGTAAAAATAATATTGCATATATATTGACTTCTTTTTCTTTATCTCACTCCTTGTGAATAGTTTAAAAATAATGCAGCAATATAAAGTATGCATGGATGTACATACAGGTGAACTAACTATCTACATGTGTTTCAATCAGTTGCACTAATGTGTGCAATGAAATTGGTGGACAAGTGGTTTATGTGATTAACATGCCTTGGTAGAAATTTTTTATTACAGATGTGTCTATACAGAAGGGTGATACTGACAATACAGAGATTAGCAAATGCACCGAAAGTGGTGCCATATCTAACTTGTGCTGTTAATACATATTCAACAGCTGGTGGGACATGTTCTGCTCTCAGTCTAGTTATGACTCACTGATATCTGTAAGGCTCCATCTGTGTAACCAAGGCATAAGTCACCTCTTTCTCTTTTGCTTGTAGGGTTTTAGAAAAAAGTAGTTTAATCTACTTCAGAAATCTTTCTAATAATAATTTAAGGGTAGTGCTTCTAGTTCAAATAAAAAAATGTGTTTACAAGGAGGAAAACAGTTGCAATGATTTTTTAAATCAATGAATCCAAATGAAATGTGCTTTTTTTTGCATATGGTATGGGAAGAACTGATTATCACAGTTCAGAACATTAAGTCTGGATCTATATACAGGGGAACATGTTATAAATCTGCCTGACCTTCCAATTTAATTTCTGACATAGCATATATAACATTCTTTGCTCATCTTCCAAAAATGGCAAATATTATATTACAAAAATTCAAAGATGGAGATATTCTTACAGAACTGATTATTCCAACTCTTAACACACTGCACAGCAAATGCTGCCAGATCCCACATTGTTCATAGCACATTTGTCAACTAAAAATACAGGCAACAATCTAAGCCAAAGACAATAACACAAGCATTAATTACTGCTCTGACAGTAGTTACTACAGTACAAGATACGGTGGCAGGATCCACTGTCAAATGCAAACTGGTGCTTTCATTGTTTACTTACAGCTATGTAGTTCTTTTCAGGGGTGAGAGCTTCAGCAGCTAGAATTTGGGCTTGTACAAGATTCTCTGCATGCACCCAGTTCATTTTAGCAGAAGGATCCCCAAACTTGAAGCTAAGTAGCCCTCTCTCAATATTCTTCTGTAGACATAAACAAACATGAAAAAAAAAGCAAAATTGGTTTTAAAATGAGGTACAGTGCACTTTCTTGTGCAGCTAAATGTAGGTTTTTCTGTACTTAAAAAAAAAATACATGAATCAATTAAAAATTAAGAGAAGTGTAGAGACCTCTAAAAACATTATTAATGAGGAAGGATCAAAGAATGTATTGAACACAATACATCCTGAATATACAAAAAATACAAGTCTGTTCTAAGGATAACTAAAATACTGTATGGAAAGGTAAGATACAGTTTTAAATGGATCAAAAGTATTTACAAAATTGGATCAAATTTAACAACTAGCTTTGGCTGGGAGAAAATGGAAGGTAATGCTAGGTGTCACATTTTTAATTTAACAGGTACAGTTTAGAAACTGCAAAATATGAAAGCTGCATAATGCCTTAAAATGGGCTCACAACAAATAAGCTTAAATTCTTACACAAAAATATAAAGACTATATTTTTTCTAGGGCTAGAGCAAACATCTCAGGTTTAACTAAAATGACATTTTCCATTCTTAAAAATTATTTTATTTATAAAATGATAAAGTATATTTTGTCTGACTTCTATATAATCCCCTACCGCAGCCACAAACCAAAAATATTTATTATGCAGTAAGCTTTAATCTATTATTTCCTCCAAGTTGTGCGTAACTTTATATTGTACTGATGCTTTCAAAATAACTGACTGACTCATATAATTCTACAGGGATCATATTCTAAACACTGTACTAGTTCTACAGGTTAAAAGGCCGCAAGTAAAAAAGTAAAACATGAGCACCTCAGCTGTTTACCCTTAGTAACCTATTGTACCAGAAGGTGCTTCCAGCTCCTTAACATGTTTCACTGGATCGTGAAAGCTGTTAATAGTTGAGACTGGAAATAAGATATTTTGCTGTATCTCTTCTAATTAACATTTTAAACCATTTGGTGTAAGTTGCATGCAAACAGACATTTGAAATATCATAGATTGGCTTGAATCTTATAGTGAGAATTAAATTATAAATCTGGATTTAACATGTGTTTGTGTTTCAAAAAAAAGCTTTTTAATGTACTGTACATTATTTACAGATATAATATAGTTCCTGTTAAACAAAGTTACATCATCCTCAGCAGACAATTGAATCGTTGAATTGATGCCCAGTAAGAAAGTCAGTCAATTTATAACATAAATGAGTGAAGCTGTTGTATATCATAGAAAATTCTGCTGATTAAAAAATTAAAATACGTACTGCTAGCCTTGGCAAGTGTCTTTGCTCTTCCGGTCCATATATTCCTGGTGGGCGAAGAACACATGTATAGAGTATTCCACCTCCTAGAAGAATTGGTAAGACCCTTCTTAAGTGACATTCACATGACTACACTGTATCTTTCTTTGTATGAACCAAAGATGGTGGTAGCAGAACTTACTCTGAAATAAATTAACTTCACCATCTTAAAAAATAATACATACCAAAAAGTCGGATATTAAGCTGGCAGAATAAGAACATGCAAAATAGAAATATAAGATTCAGAGAAGTCCTGTGAGCATAGTTTGATTCCTAGAAATTACCAAATATTTCAAAATTTCTCTCACCAGTCCTTTGTCACTGTACCAGAGCAGTGAGTAAATGTGCCGACTGTGGTGACGAGTTTGCTGAAGTGAGCAAGTTATTGGTAGGAAAGTAGAATGAAACCAACTGATCTCATACAAAATTATGGATGGGAAACAGTGACTTGCTAGCAGTACAAGATAGAGCTGAAAGGTTTTCAACAGTAGGCACAGCCAGCTCCCACTGAAGTGCTGTAGAAGATCTTGGTAATTTCAGTGGGAGAAAGTAAGGACCATCATAAAAATCCAGTCCCAAATATATCAGTTGGTTGGTTCATCATCTGCTAATAACTGTTCTTAGTAGTATTTGAAAACATGCAAAATACTCAATCCTGCTATGGCACAGGATCAAAATGGGCTGTTTGGAACACTGACTGGTTCCACTTCTATTGACAAACGCAGAACTGTGCATTGCTCCTAAAATTAAGAGGATCTTTGACGTGAAGAGGAAATAAGGGGAAAAAAACCCTTTATTTTTTTAAACAAAATAATTCTGTTGGGATGGAATGTCCATCAATGACTTTATATCTCTCGATAGCTCTCTGCAGGTATCAGGTGAAGAGAGTCTTTTCTGTAAGTTGTCTACAGCTAAATTTAGCTCAGTATCACTTGGTCACATAGAATCATGTTGCACTTTGCATTAATTTGTTTTTCACTGAGAGTTAATAGTATCTCACAGGTGAGCTTACGTATTCAAGTGTATAACTGGCTTCCTCAACATGGAAAACTTCAGGAAGCACTAATAAATAATTCCAGGCTATAGTATCAGGTGGCTTCCTCAGATTTTAATATGTAACGGGGGGGGGGAGGAGGTCTAACAATTTAATCAGCATTCATGTTTTACTTATGTTGCATAATACCGCGACATTAAGCATTTGGTTTTGTTTAATTTATAGCTGTCTTCATCTTTTCAATTAACATACTGAACTAATTGCTACCATGCTAAAACCTTTTACGGACACCGTGGGAATTTAAAAACAAAGTGAAAATCTTTTATTTTGTGAGAGGGGGGTAGATAAGTTGATTTCATGATTGCACAATTCACAAGCTTGTCCACTAAGGATTGATACGGGATACAGAACGTTAGTGAGGAACAGGAAGAGGAGGAGTAAGTTCTACTATGAATTCATGCTAAGACAAAAGTACCTGCTAGTGGAGTTCCATTAGCTGCTAGTACCATTTGTTCTGCAATTGATTTGGTTCTGGAATAATGATCAACATGCTACAGAGAAAAAGCAAATATGTTTTTATTCTTGAAATGAGAGGGCAGAAGGGCACCTCTTCTCCACTAGTTTTTAATTAGCAGATTGCAACAAATATCTCAAAATACAGAAGATGTTGGGTATTAGTTTAGGATAAAACACATGCAGATAGCTAAGGTTAGCAAGCATTTTTGTTTATGCAAATCTAGTTAATTTCAGCACATTTGAGAAGCAATAAATATATGTATGGTTTGAATGCTGCCAAGAATGTAATTGATCACTACTTTGTAATCTGGATTTCTTTTTCAGGTAACGGAAAAGTCAAAAGCCAAGTTTTAAAATCATTATGATTGATCTGAATTATCTTGTTCTCTTTCTTGTGGCACTGTCCTAGAGAAACTATTATTTGATATATTATTAAAAATATTATTCAATATTTTCTCTATCCATCTCTGCTTCTTAAAAGACTGTGAAGTACTTGATGGAGAGAGGAGGACACAAAAACCAACTGTGTATGTAAAGCACCCAGAAGTACTTTCTCCTTTTTGAATAAATGCAATAAAACCATAAAAAATAGGCTGCTTTTCCATATCAGCTCTATGTTGAATATGTGTCATCTCCAATAAGGGAGAAACTGAAAAATCTTATAAATAATAAATGGCTAAAGAGGAACCAAGCCATATAACACAATCCCTGTGTCCAGGTGGAATTTCATTAATGTTAACGGGACACAGTATGACTTATTTTCCAAAAGCAAGGCCTTGATAGGAAACAAAGAAACATACACTGCAATGTACATAAAAGTGCCGTGTCAAGGTTGTGAGTAGCATCTATAAAGAGTGTAAAGAGTTTTCTTTCTTCTTTCATGTACTTGGATTCTGGCATCAGGCAAAACATGGTCACAAAAACTCCAGGCTTTTTCAGAAACAAGAAAGTAAACAAAGATGAAACTTGAAAATATAATGCAACCAAAATACCTTTTCAATTGGAAAGTATGGCACAGTTTCCTCATCACCATCTTCAATAGGAAGCCCTCCAAACACCACATTTACTGTACTGGTGTATATCAGTCTGGCGATGTTCCTTTGCTTGCAGGCTATGGCAATGTGTAAAGTAAATTAGTTTAGTGGAAAATGAAACAATATGGGAAAACGTTTGCGTGAGCTTTTTCTGAGAAACTGACACATCTTAAAAGAACAAATCCTTCCATTTTATGGTTGGGTGATTTAAAATGCAAAGCATGCTTAAAGGGACGCTATCAGTTTAGAACCAAGTGCTTCATAATCTGGCACATCCTAATTTGGATGCTGCAGGGCAACACTATGGCCCTGGGAGGGTGGCTACCAGCCTACTGCGATGGGCTTCAGCTCTAGCCAGGCAGGTGGCTAGCAGCACATCAGCTTCAAGGGCTGCCCACTACCTGTGCACAATCTATTTGATAGCAACAAGGTTTACTGCTACAAAATACACGTGGAAATAGTTAACTCCTTACATGGATACAGGTTCTGACGTCAGGTCAAATGTGATTATGAAAAGCTGAAATAGTTGGAAGTACAGTGCTGGTGCTCGTATCACACCCCTGACAGAATCGAGCATAAAAAAAACTTGACATGTTTCTTCATCTTCTGCCAAAAATGTAAAGTATTTAATAAAGAATAGCACATTCCAAAAAAGCCAACTGTCATTTTCTAAGTAGTATAATATTATGATATGCTATACTAATACCCAATGGCAAGGTTAGATACATACCATCGATGATGAATCTTGTTCCATGAATGTTTACAGTTTCAATCTCTTCTCTGTACAACTAGGAAAATAAAGAAATTGTGCCTTTTTAAATAATAATACATTTTAAATTCATAGGAAGATGTTATAAATGTCCCCAAATAAAGGTACTGAGTTTAGTGCTTTCATTATAAAAAGAGGTCATTTAGACTGCTGTTTCAGACTTCAAGAAGTCAAACCATTATTTTTAAAGACCACCGGTATTTTTCTTGTATTTTTACAGGGTAGTCTGCTTGAAGCAAAGAGAACTGCAGTGCTTCTGAACACACATTTCCAGTGATTACACATCTTGCAGCAACATGTTAAATATCCATGTTTCAGTAGCACTTGTGTGACCAATTCTGACTATGCATTGCTCAGTTGCAAACATATTTGAATAAGCTATTCTATCCAACTAAGGTAATTACTGAAATTCCTTGTATTAAGTAAGGCAAGAAAGGGAGTGTGTGTATGTTTGTAACTTTAATTATAAAAACTGTAGCTCAGACTCCTACATCAATACATCCTTTACAGCTTTTTACCCACTAATGGCAAACAACTAAGACTTGAAATGCAGCCACTGTTATAATTTAGTTATAGAAAATAATTTATAATTTACTTCAGGTTTCATTCCTCCCAGTGACCTTACAGCTAGGAGTTCCATGTGAGGCGTTTAGGGAAAGATCAGGGGTTGGAGGGAGCCAGCCTCCCTTGTCTTTCCTTTTGTCCTCACACTATTTTCAGAACTCTTCAATGCCATCTCCAACTCAGAAGCCCTCCCAGGGTGCTGGTCAAGCCTCTAGTGAGGAGGAGATCACTTCACAACTAGGAAAACAGTACTGTAAGCAGACTGCCTGCAGGTAGTCCATCAGTTTGTGCAGAACAGTTTACCAAAATGTGGATTCAGGCTCTCAGGATAACCTAGAGATAAAACCTAACATACAGTGTTACAGCACCAAGTCTCTTATCCTCAGTGTGGACAGTCACACAGAAAAATACAAACCGATTTGGACTCACTTGCTCTCTTCCTGACATTCCATATGAAGCTACATGAAACACACAGTCAGCCCCTTCACAGGCTGCAAATATGGCATCATAATCCCTGACATCTGCCTGTAATACATATGAAGAGATATTTGGACTTGAAATGAAAGCTGCACGTTAGCATTTGTCATATAGTGGGTTAGCACAGAGGGAATGCATATATCTAATTATACATACTGTACATCCTGGGACTGAAAACTAGGCCCATTTCAGTACTTGCTGATAATCATACCTGCTTCCATAGAACTCCAAGGACTTTAAAAACATTCATTAAGCCCATAATACCCCTATGTTAATTCTAAAGGTGATTAAACTAAGACACAGATGAGGGCAGTGACTGGGTCCTGAGGAGTACTTCAGAGTCAGGAGGTGAAGTGGGTACTCTGTGCTACACATTACAGGTTTAATTCTTTTCCTTATTTCAGATATACTTAAATCAGTTGACAAAAAAATCATGTGGGATATTCACACAGTTAAAATTGTTATTGAAATTTGCAATCACTTGCAATTAGGTATTTGGATTCTGTGAAATCTATTAAGACACTATGGAAAAGGCAAATGAACTAACGTTGACTGTTGTGAAAATATAATTTATCATACCTGAATACACACTACTCCATCGGGGATTTTCCAGATAGGCTTGTGTATATCATACAGAACAACAGAAGCTCCTGCGTTGGCAAGAGCACATCCCAGTTTGTATCCAAAATAGCCTCCGCCTCCTGTCACCACTGCTCTCATACTTTTTTCTCTCAGTGGTCCAGCATTTCCATTCACTTTGGAGTTAGAGGTTTGGCGCCAGGGTGTTGCTACCCGACTCCGTATAAGTTTTCTGTCACTGAAATACTGTCTTCTATTACCAGACATATGTAACAATTTCTCCTCCATGTTGAAAATTGCTCCATAGCGCTCCTGGATGCAGACGATTCCAGTGAGTTTCATATTAACAAGCTCTACTCACAGCAGCAAAGTTTTCCTTTAATGCAACCTGTTTAAGAGAGATAAAGACAAAAGCAAAACACTAGCTACAAAATTTCCGGATTTCAAACATTTATTTTGAAAGACCCATTTAAATTTTCTGCTTGGATTGTTTAAGAGTTTGTTTAATCATAATTGTCACATTTTACAAACATTTAAAATGTCTGTATACTATATTAAAGACAGCATCCTGAAAACAAATAACAAAGGTTGCATGTTTTGGACTAAATATTTATTTGTAAATGGTATCCAGAATAATAAAAGCTAAAAAAATGTAAATATTTCCCTAATGCAAATAACATGAATTGAAATGTTTTCCACAAATGGGTCAAAATTGGAATAATGGTACAGACCATAATTTTTTAATACCAGAAGAGAAATTGTGGCCTATGTGAAATGCATCTCCTGGTCTTAGTTCAATGTGTTCTGGTTTGCGTCACAAGTGACATAGGGCCATACCTGAATTTGAAACCTTGAACCATCAGGAAAACACTAATGATGAAGAAATTGCATTTAAGTTTCTGTGCTTAAAAAACAAGCAAGCAGGGCCAAGCAGAACAAAACCTCCCTTAGAGCAAAAGAGATCTTTAATGCTTCTTACATTTGTCCCTGGCTTATCACAAAGACAGACAAGACATCCAAGAAAAGTAGTATTTTCAACTCCTTTCTTAGTAGCAGTGGCTGAATGTAAATTTAGAATAGACTGTGTTTTTATCCTTGGCAGCGATGGAGTTGAGATAGATGAGGATTTCAGGAGGAAAGAGGAATGCCTGATACTTACTTTGTATCTTTAGAAGGTGTATCAGAGAACAAGGCTATCAAATCCCTCACTTTCCAGGGGAACTAGAATAAAAGAATTGCTATGTGACAGAAGGGGTCAATGAGTATAGTAAGAAAAAAAGTAATAGTGAATCATTTATTTCTGAAACGTGGAGGTTCTTTCTATCCATACAACAGTGGTCAAGGGCTCATCCCTGATAGACAACACATTTTCGAGGCTGCAGCCACCGATTTCCTTAGTTACCCACATCCCTTCCCTGTGCCGCAATAAAAGATTAAAAGTCACCCGAGCTCCGGCCGGTATTCTCTGCATCTCACTTGCAAATGTGCCAGGGACAGCACGCTGCCAGGGGAGCCAAGGAAACTGGGGCTCCGCTCCGCCGGCCCGGCCCGGCTCCCCCGGCGGCACCGGCCGTTGGGGCGGTTGCCCCTCCCCGGGGCCGCTGGGCTCCGGCCGGGCCGCGGCACTGGGCCCGGCACCGGCAGAGCCCGCGGCACCGGCACCGGCAGAGCCCGCGGCACCGGCACCGGCAGAGCCCGCGGCACCGCCGAGACGCGTCCCGGCTGGGCGCTCGGCCCCGCCGGCCCCCGCCCCGCCGCGGGTGGCCCCGCATATGGGCTGCACCAGGCTCCCTGGGGTCCCGCAGCGCAGCTTTCCTCTGCCCCCCCCACCGTGTCCCACTCATCCCGCAGCATCTCTGGCATCCCACGGCACTCCCGGGCTCCCACAGCCCCCGTGGGGTCCCACAGCCCCCCCTGGGTCCCACTCATCTTGCAGCATCTTGAGATCCCACAACCTTCCTGGGATATAGCTCATCCCACAGCATTCCTGGGATATTGCTCATCCCACAGCATCCCTGGTATTCTGCTCATCCCACAGCATCCCTGGGGAGTCCACAGCATCCCTGGATCCCACAGCATCCCATGGTGGCTCTTACCTCCGTGCGTCTTCACTCCACCAGGACCACTGCATGAAAGCATCCTGTCAGTGCCTCGGGTCCGTCCACACTGAGGTGCCTGTTGAACAAGTTGTTCAGGAAAAGAACACCATCTCTTGATTACCGGTTGGATAGTCCGTGGCAGGACATGGGGGGGGCTCAGAGATGTGCAGAGCATCTGAAACACCTGCAAAATAGCAGGAATGTCTGAAGAGGAAGCAAAATCATAAACAAACAAGCATTAAGGTCCCCGCCCTCCTGAGCCTGCAGCGGGTCTCTGTTCAGCTCTGTGGTCACTTGTGCCTGGGAAGATGTGAAAAGGGTCAGGAGCTGCAGAATTTCAGTTATCCATCCCAAGCGAAAATTAAACTTTGAACCCGTTTACGTCTTCTGTTATAGCTGTGCCATGTCTGAATGTTCATATTAAATTTTAATCATTTAAAGATACACTTGCAGTTATGTTAGAACATAAGTAACTCAACAGCCAGCTTAATCTAAGACTCAGTAAAGACTGACAGAAATGAGACAGCTGGCTATTCCAACTGATACTAAAAGTTGTCTTAAAACTTTAAATACTGGATTTGCAATAATGATAAATCAATTGAACAAAGCCAGTTAGTATTAATCAGTACTGTTACAACAGTGATGTAAAAAGCATCTTACCTGAAATAACAAATCAGAGGTATGCCATTACAGCACTGCAGTGGTGGGACTGCATGGGGACCTGCTGCCACAAAGCCAGAGAATTCCTCAGTTAGTCCTTACTGACGAGAATCCAAAAAGGCCACAGCCTGCGCTTCTCACTGGGCTGCAGTCAGCTGCCCGATGTCTCTTCTGAAAAGTGGTGTTGTGATCTGGGATGCAGTCCTGAGCTATTAGTCTAATAAAAGCAATATATGAAAGATTCATAAATAACTAATCTAAAAGCAAATTACATGTTTGCATATAGTTAAAATGCTCACGCTGGGAAGTAACTTTACACTTGTGGTTTTCTGTTCTGCATTTCTAGAGAAACAAGGCTTACGCAGTACCTCCTGCAGTGCCTGCTTGTCTGTCAGTCAGCTGCACCTCTCTATTGATAAATTGTGAACTTGGCCAGTTTTAATCAAATTTGGATAAAGGTCTCATATGTACTGAGTTTCTTTAAGTTTCCTGACAACAGATAGTCAGGAATAGGAGAGAGGGCTGAGCAGTGCCCCTGCTAAGGAAAGACGTACAGTGTGAGCTCAGTCTGCACGGACAAGGACAATGCAAATCCATAAGAGACCAGGTGTTACTGCTTTCACTGCACACAGAACTATTTGTTTAAAGAAAAGAAAAAAAAAAGAGAGTGAAACAAATCTTTACTCACATAAGCTGCAGTGGTAATTCTGGTTGTTCACTGTCACCGTATACTGTCTTTTACCTGTAATGTTTTATTCTTTTAGGGTTGCTGTAAGATGTCCTATGCACCCTGTAAATTTAAGGCTATGATGAGAGTCTCTGTAAACTTACTGGTCTTAGAAATCCTGTAACACGTAAACACAAAGGCAAGATGAATACAGAGTGGAGATAATCAGATGGCAGAGCTTTTCTGTCACCCTCTTCTGTGACCCACCCTGGAAAGTCCAGCTCTCCTGATCTACATGGTGTGCAAAAGAGGGAGCAGCTGCTCCCTGGTGAGAGCAGAGCTGCTCCCTGAGAAAAGCCTCGCCACAGTTAACCTTATGACAATTCATCTGGGCCACATACAGTATGTGTACATGTTGTGCACATGTAGCACACGTGGCTCAGGTAGTGCAATCCACCCGAGAAACAACCAACGGAAGTCTCAAAGAGGAAAAGAGGGAGGTTGGATCGTCACTCGGGTGTTGGTGCCTGGCGTGCCTGCTCACCCTGAACTGGCAATTCGTGGAGTGAACAGAGTGTGCCAGCACTGGTACAGGATTACAGATAGCGTGACCTGGCTTCATTTACAAGGCAAGGTAGCAGTAACAGCTTGCTGAACTCCAAGGTCTTATATGGCCTCCCTCCCCCTTCCCACACACTCCTTAAAAACAATAATTGGTTCAGTTATTATTTATTATTACATTGAAAGGATACTATCTGATTAACAAACACACATAATGTTTATTACATTTTTACAAGGCTTTTGAACAATAAAACTATTTTACATAAATATGACTTTCAGTCCTCTCACCACCTGTTATTTTTAAGTATTTATTTTTGTATTTTTTGTAATATTTCTCAGGTCTTCATGATTCCTCATACATACAGTAGCTGTAGTAGCAGCTTCATCAGAGCAATTGTTTAGTCAACCTTTTCTTCATTGGAGCTACTGGACTTGTTACAGCACTGCAGTTCTGCAATGGTTCTTCTTCTAATTTCTTACCCTCCTGAATTATCAGTTTAGAAAATCCTTCTCAGCATGAAGCAATCCATTAATGAAGATCCATTAAAACTATTCCTGCACCCATTGGCGATGAACTCCTTTGATTTTAGGACACTGCATTATCCTTTGGGAGCATTTCCTGATGTGTCCCATGTTTTCACTTTTGAGGGGTTTATTTGTTTGTTTGCTTTTTAAAATGAGATCAGAGAGATGTCATCATAAGAACAATAGCGTCTATAGTGACTGAGGAATGTACTATGACCAGATCATTAATACTCAGAAACAAAATTAGGTTTTCTGGAACAGGTGGGTAGTTATTCCATTTTAGAAGAAAGAAAGAATGATCAAACTTAACAAAACACCAAAAGCAAAGACCATTTTAAGGAACGTGTGATCTTCTTGGCAAGTAGGTCTTGTTTTAAGATAATGATCCACAGAATCAGCAAATGAGAATTTCTTTGGTTTGTAACCAAGTTGATTTCGTGCCTTGTCTATTCGAAATGTGTGAGTTACAGTAATGTTCCACACCTAAAATCCAAAAGGACAGTTACAGAAGTGAATTTAATATCTGATCTTCTAGAACTGGGATGAAAATATGTCACCAATGATATTACAGTGGAGTTAAAAACATGAATAAAGACAGACATGTATATATTTTGGAGCTGGATTCTGTCCAGAGCTAACAGAATTAAGTTGATGTAGCTGACAGGTAAAGAGCCAAATCTCAGTGGACTGGGTGCAGGAGTTGCTTATGATGCTGATTTCTCACTTGTGAATGTAAGAATAAAGAACTAAAGAAATTCTGTGCAACAGATCAGCACACTTCCCTCTGACTGACTCTTCTGTACAGAGAAATGTGCGATGGAACTGGATGATTCATGGGAGGAGAGTGGTGTGGCTTCTCAACTTTGCAGAAATGCATTATCTAAGGAGTGCAAAACATACACTTTTGCAGAGTTACATCCTCCACCTCTGAACGCATGGTACCTGTGAAAATGCTTAAGTTGCACAGTCTCAATGATTTTTTCTTCAGATATAGAATTAATGTAGAAGTAAGTATAAAAACAGATAGATAAACTGTGAAATAACTGAAAAACTGCAGCCAAAGTTAATGAGAGCCATTCAGTCCCTTCAGCATCCTATTATGCTACAATACAGTAAGAGACTAGATGATAGATTAGTTAAAGCATTTTGACTTATATTATAAATCACAATATTGTACAAAAATGTAAGTTAGATCAAAATTAATTTGTCCAGAAGTTGTTTTGTTTGGTTGTTTGGGTATTCTTTTTGTTGCTGTTGTTTTTTTTCTCCCAGAAAATTGACTTTTCATTTCAATTTAGCATTATTTTTATTGGACTTTCTAATTGGCTAGCCTGGTATTATGATAACTGCTACCAGTCTGACCCAAGACTCTTGCTCTGTTCCACAGCACAGGACAGTTTGCTGGAAATGATGATGTAGTGCCTGCTTTCCTCTCTGTGCCCACTCTGTGTCAGTTTCTCTGTCTTGCAGTTTCTCTGGATCATCTAATCTTCATGTAAGGATTAATTTCTGACAATTTTATAAGGGGTGACCAGAATGGCATGGAAAAATAAGACTACAAAATGACTGTGTAAGCCCTGACTGGACTATGCCCTGAGCAGAAAAACAGAGCTCTAATGCAGACAATCCTGTTTGCATCCAAAGGACATATCATGTACTTCACAAGAATTTTGGTCAGAAATATATAACCATCCACTTTTTGTATATATTTACCTCATTCCTTGTCAAGAAAGGTGTAAAGCTAAAAACTGGCTTTAGTATCAGGTGCAGATACTCCATCACAGTGGCTGTGAAACAGAAAGGTACTTAATGAGACAGCTGGATGCCAGTAAAATGAGATAATGCTGACATTGCACATCCTATAATTCCTATTGATACCAGAAGATGCAATTAAGGTGGTAGAAGGCAGTGTTTATACAGTACATGATGGACTCAGTTTATTAATAGCCTTTACATTTCACCTGGTATAATTAATGCCAAATGGCATAAGTGATTATTATTATTTAGAATAATGTTATATAATTCGTACAGTTTGGGTCACTGCATTTTATATAATCATTATGTAGCTTTATAAGAGTAAGTAAACAAATTAAGCAAATAAATAGCACAATAATTAAGTACATATTTTATTATTTTTACCTGTTATATGAACCAGGAGAACAGGAATATGTATCCAGGGTTTCCTGTAGCCTAATTTTTCAAACTAGAAGGGGTATAAAAGGAAAGAATAACAGGGAATTTGTTCCAAACTGAGGGTGTCAATGAAGCACAAAAATGGAAAAATGAATGTTGATAAAACCTGTACCTAAGCTTTCTTCCAGCTAATCTTGCTATCAATACTGGCAGTAAGAAGTGCAATTGAAACCCACTACTTGTGCTTTGGTGCCCACCTCCCACCCTTCAAATGCAATTGGATAGTGAAGTGGAAACAACACCATTTCCAAGGGGCAAGTGTCTGAGACTGACTTAACTACATCTAGATACAGGACCATCATTCTACTGCAATAATTTTCCTGTAAGACTTTTCTGTGCTAGCATTGCAGGATCAAAACTTTCACATGCTCCTAAAATCCCAGCTTGATATTGAGGAAAATACAATGTTGTCTCTTTTAAGCTTTTGAGATATGATTCTAAATGGCCTTCCCTTTTGTGCTGCAGTTGATGGCAGAACAAAGAAGTAAACAATGGTCATGAAAGGCCTGCCAGATGCTAACAGAAGAACTTTTCATGTACTGTCAGCCTGCTTCACAGAAATGCTACTGTTCTATAGGAGGTTCCATACCTCTTAGCTGAATCCTCTTAAAGCAATAAGGAACAAACTCCACAGTTATGCATATCCAAAACTTCCCTTAAAGTAGTGGAACTTTGGGATATGCAGAGAGACCTGGACTGACTTTAATGTTAAATAATTCAGCAATTAATGTGCACTTAATTTCATTCAGTTAGTACGGTCTTTTAGTTAATGGTATGATTAGGGCCGGTATGGCACATTAGAGCTAAATGTGTGTGCAATACTTACTAAAGGGACTATCCATTCAGAAAATGTGACGTTTTCACCATCATGTATGTAATACGCCTGACCGCTCTGTTAAAGAAGAAGAGAAAAACAATTAGAAAAACATTGTATGTAGGAGGATGGCATTTTATTTCTCTCTCATACCTACCTTTCTTGATTTTGTGAATAACATGCCAGCATGCAAACGGTGAAGGTACACAAATCAGCTTAACGAGCTACCCTCAGTGGACTTCACTGATCTCAAACACGTCTTGTACTTTTGGGTAACCCCATGGTGGTAGTAGAGCTAATCATGACTAACCATGGTGTAATGTAGATCAGAGCTTGATTTCACTATGTAGTAACCCAACTGTTAGAGCATTAGGTTCTTCATGATGTGCAGGGGACAGAATTGTCTTCAGATAATTCAGACTTCAGATAAGAAGTGGCAACACTGACAGCTTTTAATAAACACAGCTTTTTGAGGTCAAGTTCCAACTCTGGCTAATTTTCTGTTTAAAACAAATTCAGCATATATGTTCTGTGAGACATGTCACAGTGCCTGAATCCACTTTTGGCTTCCAGTCTATCTTCTTCCAGCCTTCTAAATGTGCAGGCAGTATTTCCTTGACAGCTATGCTCTGGGTGAGGAGTCTGTCCAACTGGGAGCACTATTAACACCTGAGCGCCCAAGCAGACCCTGGGAATTCGGGCATTATGTTATTCTAAACCAGTTGCATAGCTTCCAAGCACTTAACTAGTTGACAGCACATGGAAGGATGTTCAGACGTAGCCGTACCTGTTGTCTGTATGTTCCTACCAATATAAATGATGCTGGAGCCTTCGGGAACTGTGAATGTAGTAGCTGCTGCAACACTGTCAGTTCTGTAATGCTTCACAGTCCTCAGATTGCTGTTGCAATTATGACCAGTAGAAGAAAAAGAAAAACCTTTTAAAATTGTCCATTAATTTTGTACATCTCTCTTTGGAATTTTCAACCCTGAAAATTAAACTGGAATGCCTCAGAATAGTTGCTCTAAATTTTGTTATGTGTCTAGAATCAGAATCTATTTTCAAAAGAGTAGCAGACTATATGGATTTGTATGATGGTGAATATATTAGCCTGGTTAAAAATACTATTTTCTTCAATCAAACAGGAAATGATATATTTTCAAAACAGAAAAAAACAGCATCAAAATATTAGCAGAATGTATTTGCATTTGCACTGCCCATGTGCTTGTGGAGCCACACACTGTTTTTGAGAATTTAGCACATGACCTTTTGGAGAACCTTTGATCTCAAATCATCAGCTATTAAACCTATTTGAGATCTAAAGCTACTGCGACACAACGTTGTTATTGTTTACTTACAGCTACATAACCCTTCTCAGAGGTGAGAGCCTCAGCAGCTAGTAAGTGAGCTTGTACCAGATTTCCTATGTGAACCCAGTTCATCTGAACTTTGTGATTTCCAATCTTGAAGTTAAATAGTCTCCGCTGGATATTTACCTGTAGAAACAGAAAATAAGAAATAACAATGCTATTCCTTTATTATGCAGTATAACATATTAATTTTGTCTCAGCCTGAATACTTAGAATTTGCTGTATTTGAGTACAATTACAGCACAACAAATGTGTCACAAGAAAAAAACCCAAACAACTAGTTGGTGGTTTTATAAATTGAGGACTGTTGCACTGATACTCAGTGGTAAAATATGATGACATAATAGTGTTTGGCTGACACTGTGGGGTGCAAACCTAGTTCTTCTATCATGGCATTTCAGCCTTGCTTCTTTTTCTTTCCACTGAAAATTACAGCCTGATCCTTGCCATTTCTGCAGTGCTCATAACATGTGATCTGTTACCTTGCATCATCAGACCTGTCACCAAACTTTCACAAGTCTTCCTGGAGGAATTGTTAAGAACTGTAATCAAGATACTTCCACTCGTGTTACGCCCTTACAACTACTTGTAGTGTCCTCCAGAGCTGACTAAATAACACATACGGCTACTCGTGGCAGGTGGAGCTGCTCTTCTGGTCCATATATGCCTGGCGGACGAAGCACACAAGTATGGAGTTTATCCCCTCCTTGGAGAGAAAACAAAATGTGATTTTCAGGTGGCTTTGATATCAACATTTGGCTGACATATATTGTCTGAATTTTACATTGTGAAAGGAAAGGATCAGTCTGACTGTTCTATGTGATTCTGCTTCCTAGTAACTTGTTTTCATTTATGTATTTAAGTGAATTAAATATTAGTGAAAGACCTTAGCTTAGCAGACTGGAAAACTGAATCCCTCCGACGACAGAAGAGTTTGAACAGGGACAGGATAAATGGAACTTTCCCATAGATATGCTTCCTGCTTGACTGACTTTTGCTATTTATTAGAGGTGTTAGTTTATAACATACTTATTTGTCCATCATTGTTTACACATGCAATACTGGAGGAAAATAATTCAGTTTGCTATATTTACACACCTTGCTTGCTTGCAGCTCAATGACATCACAAAGGAATGGAAGAGGTCTCTTAAACAGAGGCTTTCAAATTAGTTAGAATATTTTGAATCAAAATGAATACTTTGAGCTCTGTATGTGAATCAGTAAGTAGGCTCCTCTGACTCCTGAGAATAGACCCAAGCACACTTTTCATGTGGGCAAGTGTAACAGGTGGTAGGCATTTGCTCAGTACTTAGTCAAGGATGCTAAAATTGAATCCCCACATAATTTATGTTTGCCAACTTTTCAGTTGAGAGAAATCAGTAGGAATAAAAAAATATGCATGTAAAAGCAAAGATAAGTATTTCCCTTGCCATGTACAGATAGATTTTTAGCCACAGCTATTCATCCATGTGTGACTTTAGAAGTCAACATGACCCTGATATAATATTGCCAATCTGCCTAAAACTGCAGTTATTCTTGCCAGACAACTGCAAGCCTTTGGGGATTATGAGAATGACCTGTTGGACAGCATTTAGAGATTGGTGTTATCAGAAAAACTCGAAGTGACAGATTGAATGGGGAATAAAAGCACAAATCCTGTATCTATTGTAAAATTGGTAAACTTTTAAGATGATTTGAAGAATTAAGGTTAAATTTTCTGAATCCTCCCATCTGTTGTTTGCATATAATCTCATATCTGTCTAGGTATACACATAAAAAAATAATTAATCATCCAACAAAGGGAGGAGTAGAAACGAACAAAATAAATCCTTATTTCAGTTCAAGTATACTACTTATTGATAAATGAGTAACGAGAGATTGGAATATCCATTAGTACTACTAATGACATGAAAAACCCAAATGTTTTATATGTACCTTGGAGTAAAGTTCCATTAGCAGCAAGAACCATTTGATCTGCAATTGCCTTTGTTCTAGAATAATGATTAAATTGCTATAAAGAAAGGCAGAATATGATCAACATTTTAGTCACATTATTGCATCTGTAAAGGCAAACTTATTGTTTGTCTGATAACATTTAAATATAGCTAGCTTGTAGACATCAGCTGAGTAAAAACAAACTAGAAATAACAAGATTTAGCAAATATATACTTTGATTATTGCTAAGAAACTTACTAGACTTACATTTCAGTTTCATAAATTTAGCTTCAGAGTGAACTTAAGTCCGCTAGTATTTACTTAAGTCACTTTTTGTGCTGGATATACTGAAAAAATTAATATCAAGCCAAATGTTCTGGTGGGTCAGGCAATTTTACTTTGAAAAAACATCCATTTTGAGTTGGAAAAAGATTTTTAAAACAGTAAGTTAAATATGAAATCAAAACTTCAGACTTCCCTTAAAAATGTTTCAGTTTCTTATTGAAGCTATTTTGGGAAGTTATAAATAATTCTCTCCCACTTGTATCTTTTACTATTAACTTTAAAAATCGCACCAAAGTATATTTAAACAATAGGATTCTGGACACAGTTAGCACATGCTGGTTTAGTGATTATTTATCCACATGAAGATATTTATGTATGTTGAATTTCGTATTGCCATACTTTATATTGAAAAATATACCTAAAAATCCCACTGTGGAAAATTTTTATACTCTCATGTGTCTTAATCTTCCTGCTCTACCTCCATCCATGCCCCACCTCCCTCTGCTGCTTGCTATTACATGATCATCATCAAAAAAAAATATATGATTAGGGCTCAGACACATGCAACTAATTCCAAATTCCTGAAATGCTTTCTCAGAAGTCTGAGGTGCTGCGCAGGCTGTGCACAAACTGACATATCCCACTAAGTATCTCAGGAGGCACCAACAGAGTAGTAGTCAGTTCTATTTAGGATTCCTTGACACAGGATGTACATTCTAAAACTACAGCTATTAACTGCAGGCAGTGTGCTGGGAGCAGGAAAGAACAAATGGGAACAGTGGCCAGAATGCATTGAGCTTCAGATTTCAGCTAGAAAATATTTCCTAAATGATCCTAAAGGAGGAAATGGTATTTCAGAGCAGTCCTGAGGTGACTGTAACTACTGCCTGGCCTGCAGCAAGAAAGCAAGGTTTGGGAATTTTAAGGAAGAAAAACTGTGTCATGAAGATGTCAAATTTCATATTTAACAATATTCTTCAATACAAAGGCTCACAGGGACCATAATATTCAGTATTTATAAAGTGGATATGTAAATACTGAATAAAGCCCTTCTACTTAAAATATTTAAAATAATAATTTTTAGGTATTTTACCATCTCACATCTGTCTAGTTATAGCAGATTAAAGCCACTGATTTCTTCATTGATCATGGGTCAGTTTTCATTAATGAAAAATAATTTAATGGAATTTAATGTGATCTACAGTAAAACAGCTTCTGCTCTCAGAACAGCCTTCACATATCTATCCTTTAGAGCACAGTATATGACATGCCATCACATGAACAAAGTACCTTTTCCAGTGGAAAATATGGCACAGTTTCTTCATCTCCTTCTTCAATAGGATTCCCTCCAAATACCACATTCACTGTACTGGTATATATCAGTCTAGGGATATTTCTTTGTTTGCAGACTACAATGGTATACAGAATAAATTATTCCAGAACAAAAATAAAGAGTGAGAAACAACACATGAACTGGTAGCTTCTCTTTTTGAAAACAAACATGTTTATAGAAAAAGTAATATTTTAATTTTAGTATTAACTCATCATTTAATATTATATTATCTTTCATTCAGCTGGAATTTTTCATCCCAAATATCAGCTATGTAAATATTACATATTGTGGTCACCAAACATTTTATGATTTGGTACCTGCAATTATTATATCACCACTGGATTGTAGTCATCAGCTGGACAGAGGAATTACCTTGGCAGGGGAAAAAAATTGTCCTTTACTTCAGAAATGTTTCTTAAAACATGTTCATTTTACAAATTGAATAAAAAGGAGTAAGAACATTCCTTGAGATCAAATAGTACTGAGAACTTCCTGCTTCCTTCTGTAGAGGTAGCACTGTCTGTGGGCCATTATTTTTGCCCTTATTTCAGGCAGTGAGCGGTAAGCAGTACTGCTGCTTGCACCACAGTTTCATGGATGCTTGTGCAGGTAAGTAAAGTCATATAAGAAAATGTGCTAACTCTCTCCGATGTGTGACAAAACTGCATTTGTCTCCATCTGTTCATAAGTGACAAATGACATGTTAGCAGGAAACATACGCTGTTAGTATACTTTAGATACAAATGAAGTTAATATTATTTACAAATCAAAGTCTTAATTATGGATTCCAGTTGGGTGTTAAGATATTATGTCTAAATTCTGCTGCCTGTATGTCATTGCAAACTTGAATAATGTAGGTTTCCTTTCAATTTAACAATACTTCTAAGGTTTATGTGAATTAATATTCAAAGTCAGGAATTTTTTAGAATCTACAGAGCAATCAGTCCAGTTGGCTCATTTTGAAAATAATGAATGTAATTACTGTGTTGTAAATATTTGGAACAAAATACAATAATAAAATCTATTATTAAAAAGTAGATTAACAGGTTAATGCTCCTCCTAGATTCTCGCTTTGTTGGGAAACTAAGGAAATCTGACATGACATGTTTCTGTGGGTTCAGAGATTGGGGTAAGAAGAAGGGAATATGTGGCAACATCTTCCCTCTAACTCATTTAGAGTTTTACTTGCTTACTATTTCACTCTATTTATTTCCACTTTTTTCAGTAATAACCCACAGGCAGCATGAAAACGGGCCTAAAAACTGCTTTTGCCATTTTTCTTTTTGATTTTTGCCTTTTTTTTTTTTTTTTTTTTTTTTTTGAGGGAAAAGCAAAGAGAAAGTAGCTTTGGTATTTACAATGCCCTTGGAAATGTTCTTTCTGGGATTGAATATACAGAAAGAAATGTACCAATATTGTACAGCAATAGTAGTTAAAAATCAGCATATAATAAAAAGGGATAACATTTAGACAGATGATCAGAAAGAATAGAAGATTTTCTATATTATCATGATAAAATAAAAGCTAAACATACTTAGCACATCTATGACTCCTGTTACCAAATGTTTACAACACAACAAGAAGTACAATATCTCTCATGTTATTTCTATGAGGAACAAAGGAACAAGGATAAGACTTCTCCACTACCTAGAGTAACAGGAAATAATAACCAGTACATGTAATTGAGTTTAAGTTGGTCTGCTGAGGAATGAAGTCCAGGTTGAAAACCTATCCCCAGTTCAAACCAGTGGCAAATATACCAGTTTTAATGGGACCTGTACACCTAGCTTTACATCATACTCTGAAAGGAGAGAGAGAAGAGCTTTATTTTACTGCCAAAACAAAACAGGAAATATCCAATTAGGAATTTTTAAAATTAATGGTTCGGATCAGATGCAAAAAAAGAAAAACTAGGTACATACCATCAATTATTATTTTTGTGCCTCCGACATTTATGGATTCAATCTGATCTTTCTTTTGAAGCTAGAAATAGAGTTTGCACAATATCTAATTAATTGAACAAGTCACATTCGCTGTACATTTTTTACAATTGCCAGATCTAGAACAGCTGTGGCCTTTTTGTGATCTATGAGTTACAGTTCTCTGTCCTTCAGACATACAGTGATTTTTAGCAGTTCTCATTTCTATTGTCTTGTACAATGTATGAATAAATGAAGTTGAAAAATGAAAGATAAAATGCATCTGAAAGGAAACTGTAACGCTTCAATTTTCTGTCACACTCCAGATAATCCATGATATAGAATTAAGAATTGCGGGCAGGGGTTATGCTCCCCGAAAGCTTTCAGAAATTCTTGTCCCAGTGGCAATCTGTCCTGTTCCTAGAAATAAATTAGTAGTTTCATGACTTTTTTGATAACACCCTCTGAATATCACTATTATTTAGCATAACTATACTGAGTTGCTCATCTGTTTCCTCATGACTGAGTTCACAAGAAGAAAACATTGACATTAGTTCTAGAGCAATATTGTCACACTTTGGATTACTGAAAAAGGATATGCCTTCTCATCTAAGATCTTAAGTCTATGACCTCATTTTTCTAGAGTACTTTGTGTAGTACACAATTTCATGCTTTGACATTTATTATTTAAGAAATACCTCCCATGTTGCCTGTATGGATGATCTGACCTTTATAAGTAACTTCTGTCTGACATAGATATCATATAATTACATTCTTTGCTACAAGCAGACAAATTTTTGCTTTCACAAGAAAATGTTAGGAAAATTGTACTTGCTTGTTCTAATCCTGACATTCCACATGCAGCCACATGAAAAACACAGTCAACCCCTTCACATGCTTTGAACACTGCATCATAATCCCTCACATCACCCTGTAAATGAGAAAAGAATGGATTTTTGACTAGTAGAGCTCATTACATTCTTTATAGAATTTGTATTAACTACGGCTATTATGGAAAATCTAAAATAATTCTGATCAGTTTTCCACAATACTTAACTAGCATTAAATAAGACATTATAAATGTGGAGAAACATCCATGACTAAGAATTTTGTCGGTATTTTGTTGCAAAACAAATATGACTCTTCTTGGCCTTAATTATAATGCGTATTTTCACACTTAGTCCTGCAGCTTGCAGGCTGGCAAAACTTGTTTGACTTGAATGGGAGCAGCACCTGCTTGAGGGCTGGAGGATGAAGCCCCAAGGACAATAAATCACAGCAGAAGGGTTCAGCTGTTTGCCACAGAATCATCAAGTACGAGAACCCCTTTTCTGTTAGCACCTTAAGATATGGCTTGTGAAATCTGAATAAATGTTTCTTTGGCCATCTAAGCTTTAGTTTGGTTTCACTGCATGATAAATTTAATTACAGTTTTGTATAAAATTAAAACAAGGGTACACACTATATGCATTTAATTTTGTATTAGTATACATTAGTGTATTATAATCCCATTATATAAAATGCTGTATACTATCAAACACTGTACTGTATTAAACACACACACACTATATCTAGTATCAAATGCTATGCTGTGCTTAGAGTATTATGTTGCATTTTTGTATACCAGGTAATACGATATGAATAATACTCCACATACATCTCCACATACATACAGATATAAATAAAAATATAATAACTTTATTTTCAGAATTATGATGTTTCAAAATATTATATATTATTTAATTTACTGTAATTAAATTGATAGAATAATCACAAAAGGAAGCCTGGAGGTAATATTAAGAGGTAATCTAATCAGTCTTTAACTCTCAACTTCTTTCTTTTGAGGTTGTCATTGTATTTCACAAATAGGTCTGACTTACACATCCTACCTGCAATCAATGCTAAAATTGCTAATACTGTTTATACTGGTTAGCTATCTCCAAATCATTGATCAAGGCTCAGATCTCTGAAGTGATTTATTACTTTATTTACTGGGACTCTGTAGTTCCATTTTCTAGGTAATGCACCTATACTTTGTAATATTTATTCTTTTTAAAAGGCATTATAAAAAAATTGTTCTCAGAAGATTGTTAAATCTCTTGAGTCTCCTTTAGAAGATGTAAACTCCCATCAATCCACCAACTTAAATCAAATTATATGAATTTATATCATTAAAAAATCAAGCTTATGGTTTTTGAATGGTTCTTCAGTAATACTTTATATCTCTTCCATATTCTATAGAAGCTGTTTATGAAATTGAACTTAAGAATAACTCTCCTGGGTCTAAAGAACTAAAGATCTGCTAAGCCTGGTACCCTGCCCACTACACAGCTGTGCAGAGCAGTATCATGTTTCCTCCTTTGCCTCCCTTCCTGCCTGTCCCACATGGTGATGTAGCCAGGAGAAAATCTGGCATCACCTCAATAGCCCCTGGGAAAAAGATCCTGGGATCACTTCCAGCTTTGCCATCAACTTCCTAGTTCTAGTGGTGGAGTCAAAGAGTTCTTACACTAAATGCTCAGAGGAGATCAGCTGAATGACCCCTCTGCCTAGCTAGAACTTGTGCAAGGTGACAGGAGCGTGCAGAAGTGCTAGTGCATCCCTGTGCACCCAGACCCCCACACCTGAGGGGGTGAAGCAGCTGTGAGGAGTTGGTGCTCCTCACAACAGGGAGTAGTGGGGGATGCTGCCCACAGATGACTGAGCTGTTAAATATTTGAGGTCTTGTTCATTCTCCCTCTTTTGCAGACATAATAAATTCCTTGAATTGCTAAGAATCAAAAGGAATCAGTGCTCATAAATGGGTGCCCTGGGAAGAGCACGAACAGGGCAAGCATATGTGACACTTTACCCTAGAATACACTTCCAGTCTCCAAGTATTTTCATTCTGAAGATTTCTTCAGCCTACTTTAGCTTATCTATTTATAAATCTCCAATGGAAGTAAATTTTTGGTGAGGCTTTGTACATGCCTTTTACCCATTGCATGAAAAACAGCCTCTCTTTGTATTGAACTGACTCCTCATTTCACCTGATGGCCCTTCCTTCTTCCACTGGAAAGGACTGTGAACAGTCAATCCCTATCCATCTCAGTGCCATTCATGGTTTGTAAAGCTCTCCCACTCCCAAGTCATCTCTTTCCCAAACTGGAAAGTCCCAGTTTCCTCAGTCATTCTCTGCATAGCAGTCATTCTACATTTGTGATCACTTTTATTGCCGTCTTGCTCTCACCTTTTTACTCAAAATAATATCCCAGAGCAGTAAACTTTGTCATTACATCGTTCACTCCTTCACCTAGGTGAGCTACGAATGCATTGAATGGCACCTCCTAACACATGACTCCAGAGTTTCACTGGTGACACAGAGAACTGACCACTTGGACTCTTTGCTGTCTCTTAATCAGCTACTTGTGCATGTGAGGACCTGTTACCAGGACTTCTTATTGTCCTTAAAGGCTTTTCAGTAAATGCTTTTATCAAAAATCCTTAAGAGGAAGCCCTGATAATGTGCACAAAAGCAGTAGAACTTCATTTCACTGCTGTTCAATATGTAATTTCAACATACCTTGAAAAAATCTGCTCCATTTGGAATTTCCCATTTAGGTTTCCGTACATCAAACAGAACAACAGCAATTCCTGACCTAACAAGAGCACATCCCAGATTGTATCCCAGGTAGCCTCCACCTCCTGTCACCACTGTCTTTCTGCTTCTGTTAACCAGTAGTCCAGCATGTTCTTGTAGTTTGCTCTCACATGGTTGGCTGCCGTGGAGCTCTTCTGTGAATCCTTCTTGCATTACGACTGCAAGACAGAAGATATCTTGAAAATTCCTGCATAATACTCTGAGATGTGGGTAATTTCAGTAACTTTCAGGTTACAATGCTCCTTTCATGAATATACTATTTTTATTTATATATTTTTATTATCTTAACATCTTTAAAATGTATAAATAAATAATTTTGGTGATGGGTTTCTATGTACAATGAGTAATGAGTCTGAATATGTTTGTATTCCAAGACTTAGTCTCTTCCTTGTACCCACCAATTTCATATTATATAGAAACAAAGAGAAATAACAGGATTTTAGAGACATTATAATTACCTGACCTTAACAGGTGTGATTACATTTTTGAAAGCTGGTTATATCATACATTTTATCCATGAAAACTCACTAACTTCTGATATATTAGTTCCAAAGAGATGTCAGCCTACTAGTCTGGAAAAAAAATTAGATAAGGAATATACGAAAGGATTGATCCTGCTTTTAAAATCCACTTTATTTCACATTTGGGTCACAGTTCTTCAGTAATAATAAACATTTGTTACCATTTTAAACTTTTCTGGTTACACACTAAATACATTTAGTTTTCTGTCCAGTTCTTACTAACTTTTGTCCCTGTTGTTCTCATTAAGGCATTCATATACAGGTAAACTGACAAGGAACAGAAGAGATAGATAAGCCATCTGTCCTGTGGGTTCACCTACTTGGGAAAACTAATTAGAATATCATTCCGTGATAAGCAATTCAAGAGGAGTTACCCAATTGTACACTTTGTTCTGCATTAAAAATAAATAAATTTTCAATAATCACTTGTCTTTAGAAAGTCATTCATACTCTGCAATTAAAATGAGTGATATTCCAGATCACAATATACTCTGAGAAATCAGCCCAGTTAATTTTCCCACATAGACAGCCCCTATTGTCCTAATTCCTTGTATGGCCTTTGCACATTGGGATCTAGGCTCTTACATCCCCAAATAGAAATCTAGAATACATACATTTGAAATCAGCCAAATTAAGTCTCTGTAAAGTGGGAGCCAAACTTGGTACCTGCCAGCCCAATACAGAAATCAGCAATTCCTGCAGACTATTAAGGTTTTCTTATAGTTGGAGTGGAACCTCATAGCAACATCCCCATATATGAGAGTACATCACCTTCCAGCAGCTGGTATTAGGTAGTTAAGCATGGTTTGCTCTCAGTCATTTACACCAGGGTTCAGCAGAGATTATGCAGAAACTGGGCATGATTGGTAACTGTCAGCTGCATCATTTCCAGGGTGACAAAAAATACTAGAAAAGCAACAGACAATGCAGCCCAGAGTACACAAAGTTACAAACTATTTTTGCTACTGCTTAGTTGATTTTTGATAATTTTGTTTGTGATATTTTTCTTATTTTATATGTTGCTTTTTAGATTTCAGACACAGAGAAGTAAGTACCAGATTCTCCATGCTGTTACATGGTTTTAACACCAATGTCAGCTCACTAAATTCAGTGAACTGAGTGGCACAACACAACGGAAAATATGAGCTTATGTTGAAAAATATCCTGACATTTAAAAAATGATAAATAATCCATGTTTCCAAACAAAATTTAAATTACAACTAGTATAATAAAGCTAAGCCAAGTATGATCTCCTGTTCATTCAAGAAAAATTTAGATTTGCATCTCTAGATTATGCAATGCAGTAATTTTAAGCCATATAAAATTCTTTTGCCTTGTCTTCTGTCAAAAAGCACATTTTCATACACTGTAAAGAGAACTGAGGTCAAGCTTGTCACACATACCATAAAAAGACATATTTGAAAAAGGGTATATATTTGAGTACTTTAATATCCCTTAAATTTTAAGTAAGCTGGAGACTGTATCAAGAAGATCAGAAATCTATTAAAAAGCACTGATAGCATTAATATATTAATCTACTTCATGGAATTAGAAAACTATTACAAAATTTTGAATGTAAACAATTTCCTGTAAGAAAAGACTTATTTCCAGAATCAGTAGCTTCATTGTTTCTCTAAATTTATAGGAGCTATTCTGATTTATTAGTGTATTCTGCATGATGAGCATAGTTACACCTTACGCAGTGTGAGTTGCTCTTAGCTCCCCTGCTGTCACCTCAAATATGAAAAATGCAGAAATTACTTCCTATATAGAGTCAAACAGTTCAGGTTTTTAAGAATAGCTAAAGAAGTAGTAAGTACCCTTAGTAGAATCCTGGATGTCAGCGTTCTCCCAGTCCTTCCTGTCCAAGTAAGACGGTGAGATTTCTCTTTGCTGGACAATTAGTAACACAAGAGCAGCAGGTACTCCCAGACAGAGATGTTCATGTGTGCTCAGGCCCTTTTGCTGTTCCTGTGCCTTTGTAGCTGTTGGCTGGGCTAGGAGCCAAAAAAAGGGCAGGGCTTAATTTGTATATTATTTACGTTCCTTTTCAGGAAAAAATGAAATATTTTCTCCACATCAGACCCTTCTAAATAGGTTAGTATCTCTGACTGTTACCTGGTAAAAGTATTGATAAGACACTAGACAACACCAATATACTACTGGTACCTCATTCTGTAGAAAAATTGTACTGGATTACTAAAACATCTCACATTGTTTTTAAAAAGTACAAAGAAAAGGGTTCTTTACTAAAGAAAAACAGTAAAGAAATTCTTAACACTGATGTTTAAAAGTGAATCTCTCCCACAGTTGTGTGCAACTGGTGGGATACATCTCATCTAGCAGCAGAGTGAATGGAAATCCCTTCTTCTTCTACCTGTGGGTTTCAATCTAAATGTGAAGATTAAAAACAAAAATCTTGTTTGGCAGTGGTACTTAGCACTTTCATCCTGACTTTTGTATCTTCATCCTCAACCCAAATATGTACTTGCAAAGAGTCTTAACTGTAGGCACAAGGGCTGTTCTCTAGCTTCCAAGATGAATGAAGTACAGGGAACAAACTAACTGGTACACAACAGAACAGGAAAAGGTGATTTACCATTAAATAATGCATTTAAAGTGAATAATTAATTACATTATTAATAATGGTATAAGTTCTCTGATCCTAAGATTTTAAAGCACTTTTTAAATCACATATCCTTTTGCAAATTAAACAATGAGAAATCAAAGCCAGTATTTTAAAATGGGTGTGTCTAAAATTAGGTCTCAAAGCAGTAGTTAAGATGCTAAAGAAACACTCCCAAATCTAAATATAAATGACTACAATTTTAAATGTTTGCATGTTAGAAATATCTCAAGTTCATAGGTGACTTTGCAATTTAAGTGTAATTTAATGTTCATGTGCTGAAAAAAACTCAAACTGACACCTAAGCAAATATATTTTAGCATAACATATATGTAAGTCCCTGTAGTCTATATTTAAGGAGAATCTTTGAACTAATCTGCACTTCTTAGATTGTCAGATGAGTGACAAACCCAGCTCAGAGTAAAACCCCCAAGAATACCAAATTCTCTGTTTTGAGCTGTCCACGGCACTGATAGCTTTTACCATTTAATCCAAGAAAGAAAGTGGCTATTCTATCCCTGGACTACTACAGAACTCCACAAGTCAAAGCAGCTGGTCATCTTATTCCTAGCATATTGATGCCTCATTGCTCACTGAAAATCAACAAAAAGTATTGTAATTTGGCTTTGGGTTCCATGTTGGCCAGAAGGAGACACCTCAGAAGAGCTTTCAGAATCAGTATTCTGCTCCTCTCCTGCTACACTTATTCTCCAATCTTCAATGAAGAAGAGGGGTGGCCACATTTATTCATTGCATCCTGCTAAGTCTTTTTGAAAGAAACAGAACATAAATTACTATGAGAAAAGCTGCTGCATTATGATTTAAGCTTGCTTTTGGTCTTGAATCACAACTCTATACCACCCTTTTATGCTTTTTCTTCTATAACCACTCACAGTTCATGTAGACACACAGAAATAAACAAAACATCCAATACTTCTAGATTACTACATAAAATACAACAGGAAGGTGTCAGAGAGTTTGCCTGTTTATTTACATGGAGAAGGCCCACATTTCTGAAATGTTATGTTGGCTTATCAAAATGTTACTCACATCCAGACTATAAAGCAATGTTGAAATGTAATTGCACTGTTTCATGGAGGAATCTATTAAGCTTAAACAAGCTGATTGATCCACTGATGAATCTGAATTGAGTAAGAGTGAGTAGGACTCAGGGCACAGGAAAGACAAGACACTACATGTCTCCAGTATACAAAGGAAGACTCTTGTCCCTGTGCCAATTCTGTGGGCACCAGTGCTGGGTACTGGACCACAGAGAGGTATTAATTAGATCATGGCCTGGGAGACAGATGTGTGGAGGCTGGGGCTGTGTCCCTATCATTCAGCAGGTCCCATTAACTCAATAGGTTTGTACTTCCAGGCCACACAACAGGAGCAGTGCTTCAGCTGTGAGGCAATAGGAATCTGAATGAGGGTTTTTAATTGTGTCAAATATACTGTGCAGGAAGGAGCCTTTAACAGAGATGTAACCAAAGCATGAAGAGCTCAACAGAGGTCTGAGTTAAAAAAAAAAGCCGTATGTTTTGCCTGAGTCACAGGCAGGATGGGATGTTTTGCAGTGCCCAGGGGCAGAAGACTAGCAGAAAATCTTGAGACTAATCTCTCTTAAAGCTCTCCCAAGGGTAGGATTTTGCTGAAATAACTGCAGCATAAAAATATCCTCTCTTCATTTGACTTATTAAAAATTCTATATCTAAGTGCAAAATTAGTAGAGTTGTCCAGACTCATCATGTGTTTGAACACCTCCTTGTGCACTTGTTCACATCCAGACACCCAGTCATACATACTGACACAAACATACGGACTCAAGGTGGCGAGACTTGTTTTGACAGCTGATCCCCTCTAGAACCCCAAAGAAGCCTGGACAGATCTGTAGTAGGGTGTAAGTACTTTTGATGAAAGGTCTCTTTGTGACTACAAAAACAATCATCCTCATTACAAGGATTGAATGTAAAAAAAACACAGCTGAGAGAAGTTAAGTAACAATGGTGAGGTATTTACATTTTAAGTGAGAGATGACAGAAAATGTTAAAAAGCATTTAAATCAGAAGGTCTTGCAACATTAATGTAAAAGAAGAAAAGAATGGAACTCTTTTCTGAACATTATACCTTGTTGTGCTTAGAATTTTTGCTTCAAAAAGAAATTGTGGGATCTGAATTTGGGAAAGGAAATTTAAGAATATTATTTTTCATATAAGCAAATGCTAAACATTAGTACATGTCAAATATTTCTAAGGAACAAAGTCATCCATTTCTAAGGAACAAAGTCATCCTTAAAGTTTCCCAACACAATATTAATGCAACAACAGATGTAATTTAATATCCAAGTATGCATCATTCAAATACAACATTAAATACTTTATGATGATACAACATTCTTCACATTCCTTGCTAAATTAGAAAAGTAAGATATGGAGGCAAGGCAACTTACCCATGACACACTGCAAGTCTATGCCACGAGGGAAAAAAAGATGCAGATCCTTATTCCTGTTATTAGACAAAAGGTGTATTTTTGATGCCTAATACAGCAAAAAAACAACTGTATGCTAGGACTAAGTTAAGATCCTCTGGACACTCAGCTCCCTCTGATTTTTTCATTGGACAGATATTAAGCATTCATTACCATGTATTTCTGTAACATGTCTTTTGTAAAGACATTTTTTCTGTATAACAATGCAATTATACATTTCCGCATAACAGGAGAAAGTTACAAATATGCATTTAGTAGAGATGATACTATGCTTTCTCCATTGTTCTCGTGTCCTGTAATCTGTTAATGGATTTTTTTAATACTGTCAGATACAGTGTTTCTAAACCAAATGATATCTAGTACTTTAAACATTTCTCCTAAAAAAAAAAAAGGTGAAAAATCAAGGTTTTCTACTATATTCTTCAGACAGCTGCAAAGCTAAGAGAAGACTCTTCTTAAATCTCTCAGTTCTTCATTAAAATATATAAACTTTCTCACTCTATTCCTTCTTTTTCGGTGTGTTTGTGCATTTATTTGTGTTACAATTCTGCATATTTCAACACTTCCTCATGGAAGGAATAAAGCACACAAATACTTCAAAGCACAGGCTTGTAATGTGTCATATAAAATGCTTTTCAAATTATATTGTTCTAATTTACTTTGCACTCGTGATTGCTTTGCATGCTGCACAAATTGATTTACAGGTCAAATAAAATGATAACTGTGAGACTGCACTGCCAAGCTGTGGTGGCATTAAAGGAAGAAACAAAGCAACTTCTAATAACAACAAGAAAAAACTCTCTAAAAGAGATTAAGTTTGTTATTTGCTAGTTATTTCTCTATTAAAAGCGAGCCTCAGTACCACATTAAATGTGGCCACAGTGAGAGGCAGCCCATATCCCTGAAAGCATGTAAACTTGCGGCTTGCAAGGACAGCCTAATCTATCTATCAAATTCTGGGTAGAATTTAAGATTCTAACTGATGAAGTCTCACATGATATGAGTCAGAGATTGTCAATCTCCTCATATGATAGTGCACTCAATACAGTTATGTAAAACCTAGATTCTCTTTATTGTAACAGACACCAGGGGGGAATAGGGTGTTTTCTGATGCTGGCAGGTTTCTAGAATTTGATTTTCCTTTCTTCCTTTTTTTTTTTTTTTTTTAAAAACTATTCAGAAAGCAAGCATCTAATAAACATCTGTTTGAGATGGTTTCATAAGAGGGCCGAAGTTCAATGGAATGAAGAGTATCCTATATACACCTAACTGGTTGAGAAGTATTAAAATGATTCAGTGCAAAATCTTGTGACTTAGCTGTAGTAACATGTTTGGGTGCCTAAAATCTTGGAACTTTATTGCTACAAATTTAGATACACACTAATAGTAGATAACATGCTTATAAAGCACAGAGAAATTCTTACTGAACAGTATTCTGAAGGACACAACACAACATACACTTACTGCCGTTATCTTCCTTAGAAGCAGCATGAACTTCCCGGGGTTGACTCAAATTCAGGCATATTTAGATGGAGGAATTTGTTACTATACCAAGCTGTTCCACCCTTCTTTTGAATGTTATTACAAATGTTATAAACATTTGTACCAGTTAACTGTAGCACAGCAGCTGGAAGCTGACTGTAAATTATGGCAGTACCTGAGCTGTTCCACATGGAAGTTACCCGCTCTTGCTGTGAAAACAGCACTCTTCTGGTAAGGGGTAGAACACGTACTTCAAGGTGGCAAGTGGTTTAGCCATCTGTCTTTAATTCATTGCATGCAAATCAACAAATTCAGTGAGTCACAGCAATGACACGACTTAAAAACAAGCTGGCAGAAAAATATACATCTCTGTCAATTATAAAACTCCTCTTTTATTGTGTCTTGAATACAGTGAATTGCATTCCAGGAAGCATAAACCAGGAAAGCAAATGACATATACCTGACTG